TTATAATTGGATTAAAATAAAACAACTCTTAAGAATTTTAATAGAGCTTTCATTTATACTATTTAAGAACCTCCCAGAATATTGTTTTACTTACTTTAAGAGGAGAAAATTCATTCCATGGTTCTTTTGTCTAACAAAAGAAAGTGGTTTTTCTCATTCATTCATTCATTCATTCATTCCCTCTCTCCAGCTCCTCTCCTCACTGGTAATGGAGCCCAAGACCCTCTCATTGAGCTATATTCCCAGCCCTTTTCTTTCTCTTTCTCTTTCTCTTTTTTTCTTTTCTTTTCTTTTCTTTTCTTTTCTTTTCTTTTCTTTTCTTTTCTTTTCTTTTCTTTTCTTTCAAACAGTCTCTCTAAGTTACTGAGTTGCTCAGGCTGCACTCAAAACTTGAAATCCTTCCCAAAGTAAGAAGTGCTATTTTTGTGTCTTTGATTGAGCCTGGGTGTAGTGGTGCAGCTGTGTGCCTGTAATCTCAGTGCTTGGGAGGCTGAAAACAAGAGGATCGCTATGAGTCCTATCTGTGTAGTGAGATCCTGTACTAAGTATATATAGAAACTTGGTCTTAGTCAGTCTGTTGTCTCTTGTTATAACTGAGTATAACAGACTGGCTATGTTTTAAAGAATGGAATTCTTATTTAACTTATGATTCTGAAGGCTGAGAAGTCCAAGAGCATGGCACTAGTGTCTGGTTAGAGCCTTCTTAATGAATCATAATGTGTTGGAAGGCTTCACATGGTGAAGCAAAGCAAGGAAGCCAGAGAGAGTTTATTTCAAAGCCAAGCCACTCCCAAAGTAATCCATTAATCCGCTAATCCATGAGAGAGGCTACCTAGTCATAAAGTAGAGCCTTTATGATCCAACCACCTCCTAGGAAGTGCACCTCACTGCTTCAGTTAGAACCGAGTTTCCAGTGTATAAAATTTGAAGACACTAAGTTCAAAGTATGGCAAAATCTTTTAGGCATTATAAAACTTTGAAGTCCAGATACTTCAAAAAGAGTTTATGTTGATGCCCTTTAAAACATAATTTTATGATTACTAAATATGGAAAACATTTTAATTTAGTAGATTTTTTTCCATCTCCCACTTTATCAAACAGTGTGGCTATTTAAAATTCTGTCTTATATATTTTCCTTTTTCTTTTCAGAACTAGAGATTGAACCCAGGTCATCACACTGAACTACATCCTTAGGCTTCCCCAGTCTTTAAAAAAATTTTAATTTAATTTTATTTTTTTTGCTCCAAATGCCATCAGGGGCAGGTTTGGCTGGCTTGAGTTGTGGGGATTGAACCACAGCAACCTGAGCCTGACTGCTTTGTTGAAACAGCCATTTAAAGAACTGAGCTAAGGGACAGGCCCCCAAATAAGGATTTTTTTTTTTTAAATAATTTTAATTTGAGACAGGGGTCTTGCTCAATTGCCCAGGCTGGGTTTGAATTTGCAGTATTCCTATTTCAGCCTCCCAGAGTGCTTTTATTTACAGGTGTGTGTTACTACATCCCATTTAGTTTACTCTTATGTATATAAAATTCCTTTATTTTTTATTTTTGTCTTTTTGAGACAGTGTTTCACTGTGTAATTCAGACTCGTCTTGAACTCATTTTGTAGCCCTGGTTGGTTGTGAACTTGGAGTGATCCTCTTCAGCTTCCTGAGTAGGATCGGGATTATAGACATTCACCACCACACCGAGCAAAATTCTACTTGTTAGGGGTACTATAAATTGAGAAGAACTGAAGTTTTAGAGACACAGAATTTTGTTTGCTGGCTCTGAAGAGCTGAAAGAGCAATGTCCACAGAAAATTAAAACTTACGTAAAACAGTGGATTTTCACAAATAGTGGGGTTTATAAAAGGTTTATAAAAATATAACTTTGCAGTAGGTAGGATCTGAGACAAAAGTCAAAAAACAAGTAAGTTTGACTCTTATCTAATTGTCCTGGATGGACATCAGTTACACTTTCCTGTAGAATTTTTTTTTTTTGTTTATAGAACATTTTATAGATACTGATAGAGAAGTATATAAATACATAATTATGGGTGGTGCTTTTCCCTAAGTTTTCTTACACATGCATATTTTTCTCCAGTGCTTCTTGAGTTTTCTCATATGTGCATATTTTTCTGCAACTTCGTTTCCCCATTTGAACATATGGTTTAGAGTTCTTCCTATCCATATAAAGTGAATGTCTTCATAGTATAGTAGTTTCCCACTGTCTGTGACTTCTCTTTCAAGTTTCAATTACCCACAGGCAACTGCAGTCTTAAATAGTTAAATGAAAAATATGAGAAATAAACAATTTATGATTTTTTAAAGATTTATTTTT